GACACCGCGGATTATTTTATTTTCTGCAAAATACAACAAATTCTCTGCACTCATCGCAAAACAATAATAGCAGCAACTCAAAAGTTGCGTGTCTTCCGTACCCGTATTTGTCATAAACGCATCAAATCCGTAGCCTAGACGTTTTGAAACGTGATCTATGCGTGCCAAAATGCTAAAAAGACGAACGAATCGAATTGCGAAGTAACCATAAATTCGCTAAACTCTTAAATCATGTTAACAATAAATTTGTGTTCGGTAAACCGTGCCCGTCTAGTTGGCAAATAACGCCACCCGTTCCTCACAGTCGGGAAACCGAATCTAATTAAACGTTTCTCTATGATCCTAAGGCACTCGCGCGCGTACAGTGTACGCGTACAGGCGACAGCTCGACAACCAGAATGAATTCTTTAACCTCTCGACCTACAGCAATCGAATTTAGGGTAACATAACATGTTTTACCTTTGCAAATTAGGACTGGATCACGTAACGTCGATACGTGGCCGCCTATGCTCGATATTAAATTTCAATCGAACGTGGAAGCGAGCTTGGCCGGAGAACCGGGCCGAGCCGAGCCCGAAACGAGAAAAATTCGGGAAAACTTCAATTAGCCAAGTGCCGCGAGAGAAAGAGAGAGAGAGAGAGAGAGAGAGAGAGAGAGAGCGACACGGTTATTTCGCTAATATATTTTATCAGGTCTTTCCATTCCGGTTCTAAGTATACACGCCGAGTCGGTAAATTATTCAATCGAGCGTCAGAATTTCAGATCGTACGGATCAAATTAGTCGGCTTCTCGTCCCATTAAAAGATTCTCTCCCTCCCAGCCTCCCCCTGTTCGCCGTCGCTTCTGTCGAATCGGTTTAAACGTTATTTCTAAATTCTGCTTTCGTTATCGAGTCCCGTACGTAAACCTCTCTCTCTCTCTCTCTCTCTCTCTCTCTCCCCCTCTCTCTCTCTCTATTCTTTCGTTCTCTCTGTCTCTATTCTCTCGCTCTCTCTCTCTCTCTCTCTCTCTATTCTCTCGTTCTCTCTCTCTCCCTGTTCTCTCTCTATATATATTCTCTCGTTCTCACTCTCTATTCTCTCTATTCTCTCGTTCTCACTCTCTATTCTCTCTATTCTCTCGTTCTCACTCTCTATTCTCTCGTTCTCTCCCTCCCTCCCTCTCTCTCTCTCTCTCTCTCTCTCTCTCTGTAACAGTAGAATGTTTCCAGTCGCTGATTAATTCACGCGACGGATGCATAACGAATCGATAAAACGAGTAAAGAATTTACGAGGAGCGTGGAAGAGATTTCAAGATTTCAAAATATATATGTATGTACTTCAGGATTCCGGAGCGAGCCCGGACCGAGCCCGGACCGAGCCCGGTCCGCCGCGCGACACGCACAACGCACAGAGTGTCTCGTCTCTCGCACAGACCGTGTAAAACTTTTTGAAAAGCATCCCCGTTCGCGCGCGCCTCGCGCATAATATCTCGAAATTGTATGACGTCGGCGGTCGGGGTGTTCTCTCAGGAAGGTTATCGATGTTACCGTTCCTTTCTACCGGGTGGGTGGGGATCGATGCCGGCAGAGCGGCGGAGAGCCCGATTTCCTCGTGGAATTTTTATGAACTCGCAGCTTTTTCGGATACCGGGCCGAAAATATATATCGCAGCCGTCCCGAGACCGAACTTTGATTCCCGATCGCTAATTCTTTCAATGTCATCCCGCCTTTCGATCGGTTTTACCAGCCCCCCGGGTGCCCTGCAAGAGGTGGATCGATTTTCGAGTCGAGCGAGAACAAATCCGACGCCGCTTTCGCACACACAAACACACAGGATACACGGAATATGACTTTAATTCGAATCGACAACACGGTTATTTTGTTCGCGCGATCAAACGACGCGCACTCGATTCGATATAAGGACAGGAAGAGCGTACTTTCGGTGATTTCGACCGTAGAATCTCGCGATCCACCGGAATCGATTCCGTCGGCTTTTCCATACACGTTTCGTGGGCCACAGAGGAGCCTCCCGTCGGCCCACGGAAGAGAACGCATCCGTTTGCGCATACGTTTTGCTGGCGATTCGGCGGCTCTAATCAGATCTAGACTTATCGCGAGATCTCACGGAAGCTGAACCTACGTAATAATAGTCGGTACAAAGAATCGCATGACCTCGCGGTAAAAAGCCCGGGCACAATGCGGGGGTCCCCGAATCTATGGAAATCGATGGGAACGTATGACCTAAACGTTGACTCTTTTCATTACTTTCGAGACGCGTTGCCGTCGGCGGCGGCGGCGGCGGCGGCGGCGCGAGTCGAAATACACGCTGAACGGACCACGGGAATATATGTATGCTTGCCGGATCGAAGCGTGTGTGCAGTTCGATCCGTTCGATCCATCGGATCCGTTCAGACGCGATTCGACTCTTTCGAGACCGATCCCGGTAAACAGAAATTGATTTACATACGTCGATTTCTCTGCGCGGAGTTTTTTCGGATGCTCGTTACTCCTCGGCCGCTATTGTTGTAATAAACGAAGAAAGCAACGCGACCGTCGTCCGCATCGCTGCCGCCAGATCTCTGTTTTACCGATAAGGCGTCGGTCCGCCGACTACTGTTGCATTAATGCGCGCAGATGGCAGCATCTTGCGGAAATTTGCAACATTTTTCGGAACGACTTTGCATGTATTCCCACCCGAAGTCCTCGCATATTGTTTTGTTGGCATTATTTTTACAAAGTTTACAAACACCAGCCGATATTTCGTTGCGTACGCGGTAAAACGATATACTACCTGTGTGTCCGTAAATAAAGCACGCGATCCTCGCATCCGCCGAGATAAGATCTCTTTACGCGTTCGAAAATTCGTAATGTTTTGCCATCAAATCTGCTCCAAGAGATGACCGAAGGAAATGTTTCTTTCTTTTTGCCGATTTCTCATTGATGGTCTCTCGCGCGACGATATTTTCAATGTACGCCCGCCGGCACGGTAAATTTTCACGCGTAAACATCATGCTCGATAGAATTTGTCGCGTTCGTCGTTCGCGAAGCGGTTATTATTGCAAAATGTACGATTTACTATGAAAATCGAACGAAACACGCACTCATCAGAAGTTTGTACATACGAAATCGTAAACGTTCGTGCAGGACGATGCGAGGCAATTGGAATTTCAATTACCGAACGGTCGCAACATTGTCCGTTTAACAGCATCTTATTAATTATCGCGAGATTACTTTGATATTCGATTGTGCGTATTCGACTCGACGCTCGCGTCGTCGTCGTCGTTGTTTTATTTAGTCACGCGACGCTCTCGAGCGACAGACAAAAAATCAAACTATTTGTCATTACCTTCGCGAAATCCTACTTATTCCTCCGAGAACGGCTCGCGTCGCGAAGAGGTTATTTATCAACGCAGTACGCGGCTACGATTTATCGTGTATCTCGAGAGAACGACGGTTGTTTCCCGTATTTAATAAAATCAAAGCTGCTCTTGACATCGGACGGAATATCGTCGAGCAAAAACCGACCGACACGAACGAACGCGAAACGATCATCCTGAAGCGACCCTTATCGTTCTAACAAAAAAAGGAATCGATAGAAGAAAAACCACGCGATAAGTTCAACGATCATCCAACGACGAATTAGACATGACAAAAAAGAAAAAAAAAAAGAGTCTGGCTGGCGATTCCGTTCGACTTCGGATAGGACCTGTCATTCTTCGATCATTCCTATACGCTAGAAGAATCAATATTATCTCTCGCGACCGAAAAACCTGCTGGTCTAACGTGTTCGCGAAACGCTCGCGAAGCTCGAAGAAGCTCGACACGCAGAACCTTCGATATTCCCGAAGTAATTGAAGCATTGCCGAGAGCGAGCTTTTTTTTCCTCTCTCGCGAAAACTGTGAACGCTTCTTGCGCGCGAGCACGCCCATACGACTGTCTGGGTGTTTGTGCGGTGTTCGCGGTGTTTGCGTACGGCGTACGGACGCGTACGTGTGCCGCGCGCGCGACTGTGTGTACGCGTCGAGCCGAGCGCGTGGACAGACGTGTGCGTGCGTACGCGCGCGTACGTGTGTGTGTGTGTGTGTGTGTGAAGGCCATGTTAACAGACTGTAAGTCAACGGATCAGTTCGGAAACAACGAAAGTAGAATGAAATTTACTTACGATATTCACCGGCTTGTCCGCGGCTCCTACAGAGCTTTCCTGCGCGATTATTTCACTCTCCACATTATTACGTCCACGATGCGGGAGGACAAAAAAAAAGGGACGGCGAGAGAGCGAGTTTGATCAAAAGCACAATTTTCGTGACGTCATCGGTGGCCGGGCATGCGCGGTCCGATTTCGGTGTTTTTCCATTTACCGCGGAAACACGTGTGCGTTTGTCGGTTGTTTTTTTCCCCTTTTTATCCTCTCTTGTCCGGCCAACAGGCTTTCTCGTATATCTACGAACGTTCGACACCGAGGAACACTACATCGCTAAGAAACACACGACATTATCGCGACGACGCGGTTATCGCCCGTTGCGAATTTCGTGTGCGATTATTCGCGAGAGCCAGCAACGGCTGCCGACATCTATCCATCCACTCCCACTTGTTAAGTGACGTACACTGACGTCATCGATAGTTTACCTTGAAGCATGACATTGAGTTCCATGCTGGCCAATAGACAGGATCAAGTTCCCTGTGTGGCGAACGATGGCGTCAGGATCGCGCGAATCCACGGTCTCCTGCAACATAAGAATTCATCGAAATTCAATTCATATTGAAAATTAATTCCCATAACCTCTATAAATTAATTTACCGACTTGTACATACATATCAATGTCAAATACAATATTCTCAACAACAACGATTCACGTGGTTCTTCATTGCAAATCCCGATATCGTATTAACATTAGCTAACATTATTTCAAACTTCGATCTACACCCTATAAGGTGTGCTACGATTTATTCCACCTGATTCCACCGACACAAGTGCTTCGTGTTCGATTCCCCAGAGGAAAAGTTCCTAGATCTGGTATCAGAATGAAAAGTTAAATTCAGGACTGCCAACCAGAAATGACAAGATCGGCTATCGTAAATAAAAAAATATCGATCTTTTATCGGCATTCCTATCGAAGAGTATTTTGAATATTTCTCTTAACCTCAATATTTTCTCTATTTTTATATCGTTATTTTTGATGGTATATACTATGGTTTTAATTAACAGTCGTACGTAATTAACGTAATCAAAGGGCGCATTGTACTAAATGTAGCAAACATTACAGTATTATTGAATTCAATTCTTGTTTCATAGGACAATGTCTGACGGTAAGTTAACATTGTAAAAATGTAACCTATTATGATGTTTTAATGCAAAAATTATTCTTCGTTAGAGGAAGTAATTCGTCGAAGATTACTCATCGACGGCGATGGAACCGGGGACGATCGTAGGATAAACATGCTTTTGAAATCATTCATAAAATGGGTTAACAATCCTGATGTGGATAACGTGTTGCACGAGAGGATGTTGTCGCAGCTTGCTCAATGCGAATTTGCGCAAAAGAAATCCAGGTTGGTTTCGAATATGAGTCAAGATGAATTGAAAAGCTATGAAATGTTATCGAAAGAGATAGAAGTACAAATAGAAGAGGCCAAGAGTGATATCGAGAAAACAAAGGCAGAACTGCAAGAAGCAAAACGTGTAAGGAAAAACAGAATCGAATATGATGTATTGGCAAAAGTTATAAACGAGCAACCGGATAGAGTAGAAACAAATTTGAAATTGGCAACACTTCGTGAAGAATTGGGCAGATTGAAGGTACATGAAATTTTCATTGTATGTTGGAACAAATGTTATTTTGGGAAAAAAACTGATGTACAAATATTTTAATGTATAGGAAAAATCTGAACAGTTGGAGCACAAATTGGAAATGAGGCGTAAACAATTCCATGTATTGATATCTTCTATACATTCGTTGCAAGGAATGCTGGATGAATGTGACAAAGAAATAATGGATGTGAGTTTAGAAAATTACGAGGACACTGATACTTCAATACCTCCCAAATCTGACACATAGCGATTTAAACATATATCGTGTACATAAATGTATGCTTAAGTTCATATAATTTTTTAAACAAATATTTACAAACTTCCACTGCCCGCCAAAGCACATATCAATGTGCTTATAAGTATTACATAATAAAAAATGGAAAGAATATTAATAATGAATGTTATGTACTTAAAAAATGTATATGTATACCTAACATATATAGTGTATTATCCAATTTTTAATTTCAATTTGGTAGTTTTAGGAACATGTCTGATCGTTAAAGATAATCTGACATCTCGTTGCAATGTTTGTCCCTCCGTAAACTCATCGCCGCATATATTTAAATTTTTTACCAGAGATGTCGAAATAATGTCTGTATCCCTTTCTGCAATTGAATGTAAATAATGATGGTACAAATCTCCTTGGAGAATTAATAAACTTCTACGTTCTAGTAGAAAACTGAACTCTAAAGAACGTTGTTGTATCTGAAAAGAAACATACAGAAAATGTTAGGCCAATCAATTTTGTGATGAGTTTAACATACTACAATTGTTACAACCTCCGAGCTCTCCGAATTTTTGTAAAAGTCGAGAAGAGTATGAGATCCACAGCTGATGGTTGTTACAATAGGATGAAACATTGGGCCATCGGAGTGTGCCTGAAAAATGTCAATATAAATGTAAACTATTCCAATACTAATAAAAAATACATACATAACAACTTTTGTATACCATTATTCCTTGTCCAGGCAAATATTCATTAATCAACACATGATTGGGTAATTTGTTTGTTTCAAAAATATCATGGGATGATACTTTGTTAATGTACTTTTGAAGCCACTGAAAACTTATTGTTAGATAGTTTTCTTTAGATTGTCTTACATGTCTTTTCTTTTTAAGTACATACGCCTGGTATATCTTCAGCTATCATACCTTTGGGGTGTGGGATACCACCCCAATTTTGTAGCCTACGATGACTTAACTGGGTCCACTTTGGTAATGGAGCATTCTTAACATGCTTCACAATTTCTAGTTCTTCCTCTTTATTTATAAAGTTCGGTATATAAATTGCTAAATTTGGTACCTATAACAAATAAAACATTTCAGAATTCAAAATACATAACCTCCACTAAAAAATGAACAGTATAAATGCGAACCTCTGGCACCACATTTTTATTATAGATATTTTTATTATTCATTTTGTAATAGACGAAGTTATCTAATTGTACGAACAATTAACAAATTCTTGGTTAATGATGATAAGTAAGGTTGCCTGTTTTATGGAACGATCAAATTAAATTCGTCACTGTTATTTGGATTCTGTAAACAAACAAAAGTGTTCAGAAAACGGTACAAAAATATATGTATTTACAATTGCTTAATATATAGTGATGATTAGGTATATAACCTTGCAATAAATATCAGTTGTTAGAATGATCAAATTAATGTAGTTTGTAAATAATATTTAACTGAACAATAATGAATTGATCATTTAAGATCTAAACTACTTTGATCAGAAGAGAGATGAAAGCACACATAGCTGAATGTTTTCCACGTCGGTGTAGAAAATATTCTTTTGCTACATGTGACAACGAATACGCTATGAATCGTTGAGCTACATTACATACGCATGTACGTATTTGCATAAAATCAATTTTATCCGAGAAACTATTCTCCATGTTTTTATATGAAAAACCACACCTTTTCAGGAATATAAATTAACGAAAGTAATTCAACATTATTTATACAAGAAAAGGGGCAAAATGGATAAGAATCGAATAATTGATCAAATGGACAACAAAAATTTAAAACTTATTCATCAGGTATATTTTGTAAATATATGCATGTATTGCATATACAATACTACATATAAAATTTTGTTTGCAGTTTCTTATAGATCATAAGTTTGAGAATACTGCCGAAACATTATTAATTGAGGTTGAATCGCGGAGTTCCAAAAGTTCCTCAAAAGATCAAAGGATTTTGTTGAGCTTCGATTCAGGAGACTGGAGAACCTTTTTTAATGTATATAATTATCATCATCGAATAGACAATTGCGTAATACAACTTCTGAAGAGATTATCTTTTTTTTCAGATCTGGAATTTGTTGGTACCTGAAAATGTTAAACAAACCAGATCATATAAAGTCTTAACATTGAATCTGTATGTTTATTTCATAATGTTACCAAAACATAAAATGATTTTATATTCATTTGAAGAGCAAGGTAAGAATGATATGAAATTCTATTTTATATTAAATAGAATGTCATAATTAATTAGTCATTTTTATAGATAAGATACAAACAGAAACAATCAAATCTACAACATCTTTGAATCACAATGGTCTTGAGAATCAAGAGGTAACATTAATTTGTAACACAATACAATTTTAGAAGAAGCTATAATATATTTTTACTCAAAAACTACAGGACANGCTATCATACCTTTGGGGTGTGGGATACCACCCCAATTTTGTAGCCTACGATGACTTAACTGGGTCCACTTTGGTAATGGAGCATTCTTAACATGCTTCACAATTTCTAGTTCTTCCTCTTTATTTATAAAGTTCGGTATATAAATTGCTAAATTTGGTACCTATAACAAATAAAACATTTCAGAATTCAAAATACATAACCTCCACTAAAAAATGAACAGTATAAATGCGAACCTCTGGCACCACATTTTTATTATAGATATTTTTATTATTCATTTTGTAATAGACGAAGTTATCTAATTGTACGAACAATTAACAAATTCTTGGTTAATGATGATAAGTAAGGTTGCCTGTTTTATGGAACGATCAAATTAAATTCGTCACTGTTATTTGGATTCTGTAAACAAACAAAAGTGTTCAGAAAACGGTACAAAAATATATGTATTTACAATTGCTTAATATATAGTGATGATTAGGTATATAACCTTGCAATAAATATCAGTTGTTAGAATGATCAAATTAATGTAGTTTGTAAATAATATTTAACTGAACAATAATGAATTGATCATTTAAGATCTAAACTACTTTGATCAGAAGAGAGATGAAAGCACACATAGCTGAATGTTTTCCACGTCGGTGTAGAAAATATTCTTTTGCTACATGTGACAACGAATACGCTATGAATCGTTGAGCTACATTACATACGCATGTACGTATTTGCATAAAATCAATTTTATCCGAGAAACTATTCTCCATGTTTTTATATGAAAAACCACACCTTTTCAGGAATATAAATTAACGAAAGTAATTCAACATTATTTATACAAGAAAAGGGGCAAAATGGATAAGAATCGAATAATTGATCAAATGGACAACAAAAATTTAAAACTTATTCATCAGGTATATTTTGTAAATATATGCATGTATTGCATATACAATACTACATATAAAATTTTGTTTGCAGTTTCTTATAGATCATAAGTTTGAGAATACTGCCGAAACATTATTAATTGAGGTTGAATCGCGGAGTTCCAAAAGTTCCTCAAAAGATCAAAGGATTTTGTTGAGCTTCGATTCAGGAGACTGGAGAACCTTTTTTAATGTATATAATTATCATCATCGAATAGACAATTGCGTAATACAACTTCTGAAGAGATTATCTTTTTTTTCAGATCTGGAATTTGTTGGTACCTGAAAATGTTAAACAAACCAGATCATATAAAGTCTTAACATTGAATCTGTATGTTTATTTCATAATGTTACCAAAACATAAAATGATTTTATATTCATTTGAAGAGCAAGGTAAGAATGATATGAAATTCTATTTTATATTAAATAGAATGTCATAATTAATTAGTCATTTTTATAGATAAGATACAAACAGAAACAATCAAATCTACAACATCTTTGAATCACAATGGTCTTGAGAATCAAGAGGTAACATTAATTTGTAACACAATACAATTTTAGAAGAAGCTATAATATATTTTTACTCAAAAACTACAGGACA